TTCTGCAATATCATCGAATCTAGGAAAAGCTCAAGTGCCCTCTTCTCACAATTCTGTTCTCCCTTCTTTCTGCCCATCACTAAGAGACCCAGGGAGGTCACAGTGGAGAGCACCATTGGACAGCAGTGCCAAGGAGCAGAACATGACTTTTGTGATACTGAGCAAAGAGGCGAAGCCCTGGCTCCTGTGCGGAAAGGCCTCTCTGGCCCCTCACCAGATGGACCAAAGATGGAGTGAGTCAACTCTGCTCCAAGGAAAAAGCTCTACTCAGGCTGAGATTCTGATAGTCTATTTTTCCTTCAGGGTCTCTCTTTACTGAAGCAGGGTGAGAGTACAAAAAGAGTTGAGGGTTGTTATGCTTCAGGTATGAGGCGTCCTCTAAAAGCTCGTGTGGGAGAAAATGAAAGAAAGGTTAGAAGTTTAGAGGTGAAATGCAAGAAAGTTTAGAAGTGATGAGGTTATAAAAGCCTTAACCCAATCAGTGCATTGGTCCACATGCATGGACTAATGGGTGGTAACTGTAGGCAGGTAGGGTATGGCTGGAAGAGGTAGGTCACTGGGGGTGTGGCTTTGGGTTGTATATTTTGTCCCTCATAAAAGGAATCTCTGCTTCCTGATTATCAAGTCCTGAGCTGCTTACCTCCAGCTTCTGCCTGATGTTGTTCTGCCTTACCTCTGGCCAGGGCAATGGAGTTGGCCACCTATGGACTGACACCTTGGAAACCGAGATCACCAAATTAACTTTCCTATAAAATTGTTTTTATCATGTCTTTGGGTCACAGCAGGAAAAAAAACTGATTTAAACCAGTGTCTGGATCTAGGAATAGAGTTCTATATCTAGTGCAATCAATTTTGGTCTTATTAAGCAGATAATAATATTAATTAATAACAACAGCAAAGCAGCAACAGCCACAGTAGCAGTAGTTAATATATTCTAAGCAGTTATTGTCCCAGGTATAGCCATGCCTTGGTATCCTTGGAATTGGTTCCCAGGATCCCCAGTGGATATCAAAATCCTTTGATATCAAATACCTCATTTAAAAAATGGCTTAGTATTTGTATATAACCTACAGGCATCCTCCCATATTCTTTAAATCATCTCTAGATTACTTATGACACCTAATACAATGAAAATGCTATGCGAACAGTTGTTACACTATACTATTTGGGGAATAATGACAAGAAAAAATCTGTACATGTTTAACACAGATGCAACACTTTTTTTTTTTTTTAGAATTTTCAATCTGCAGTTGGTTGATTCTGCAGAAGCAGAACCAGTAGATACAGAAGGCAAACTGTCTGGTGCTAAGTCTTTTGCAATCATTTTTTAATTTAATCCTCCCCACAACCCTATGAGGGAAGTGCTCCCATTGTGTTTTCCAAAGAAGAGGAAACTGAAGCTCAGTGGGTTTATGTCAATGACCTGAGTTTACAAAGCTAGGAAACAATGGAACCTGAATTTATAGCTAGACAGTGTGTCCCACCATAGGTCCATGCAGCCCACCAGAACCAGAGATACAGCATCCACGGCTCTTCAACAATCCCCTCCTCAGAGCTCCCTCAAGACAGGTGTGGTAAGGACCTACTTGAAGATTCAGGATCCTTAGTCCCAAAATGTCTTGGTTCCCACAAACCTCATTTGAAATATGACCATTAAATATTGCTAACTTTGCAGATGTATGGCTTGCCCTAGAACACAGTTCTACCATGAAGCAAGCTTTGAGAATCTTTTATGAGAAAAGAATGCCAGAAGACTTCTTGCAGTTCTTCATGCCCTGAGAAATACTAACACCCTGACTCATCTCCAAGATGGGCAGCATCTCCTTGGGGTATTCATTAAGAACATGTGGCATGCCAGGTATAGTGGCACACACTTGTAATCCCAGTGGCTCAGCGGGGTGTGTGGGGGGTACTGAGGCAGGAGGATCACAAGTTCAAAGCCAGCCTCAGCAAAAGTAAGGCACTAAGCAATTCAGTAAGATCCTGTCTCTAAAGAAAATACAAAATAGGGCTGGGGATGTGTCAGTGGTTGAATGCACCTAAGCTCAATCCCTGGTATTCCCTCCCCAAAAAAGAACATGTGGCTTCCCAAAAGGGTTGGCACTCACCACTGATCTTTCTAAGTCTGTGAAGAAAGTAAAAATGATTATTTGTATTATCCATAAATGCTGATCTTCATGAGGAACTACAAGGAAACACCCTTGTCACTTCCCTGGTATGGAACACAGGAGGAATCTGAAACAACCCACCCCCTCAGGAATCTCTAGAATGATGTCTTACAATGCACCCAATCCTCTCTCTCCTGACTTCTCTGTTCTCCTATATAGCAACGTTGTATAAGGTTTGAGCCTCATGATTTATGGATGGGAGACTGTTCACAGTAATGCAGGCTACAGGTTTTCTCATTCTGGCCCAGGACCTGTCATCAAATAAGACCTTTCCCTTAAATCTTTGTGGGACATTGTTGATTTTATGACTATTTCTAAACCAGTGGGATTTCATGCCCTGATTAGCGTAGGCCTGAGTTAAAGTCCATCACTGAACAAAGACAACACAAATTCCACCAAGGAGGAGGGATGTTTGGGGTAATTATTAACTGGTGGCTTTCACTATTATATTTCCCTACATGTGTTGTGTTCTGATCATGTCCACCCTCCCTTTCCTCCTCCCTTGCCTTCCCCCTCTCTCCTCCCTTCCCCTGGTCCCTCCCCCTTCCTTAATGGTCAGAGGTGAAATTTTCTGAAAAACTTAGGCCATTAAGACCCATCCCTGGAGGTGAGCTAGGTCAGTCCCTCCAAAGTATCTTGGTCTGTTCTGCTGCGAAAATAAAAGCTCCATACACTGGGTGCCTCATACACAGAATAAATTTACTTCTAACCATACAGAGGGACGCTAAGCCCAAGATCAAGACTCGAGCACATGCTGTGTCAGATGGTGAAAGGAGCTGGTAACTCTCCAGGGTCCCTACTTAAGGCACTAGTCCTTTTCCTTGGGGAGGAGCCCACATGATCAGTCACCTCCCAAATGACCAGTCACCGCATGACCAGTCACCTCCCAAAGTCCCTGCCTTCTAGTACCATCACACTGGAAATCAGGTTTCAATTGTATGAATTCCAAGGGGACACAAGCTGTCAGACCATAGAATAAACTCTAAGTATACCTCATATAGTTGGGGTGAAAAGGGGTGTTCACACCCCCAAAACCTGGTTGTAGTTTAGGAAGGGAAGGAAAGGAAATAGTGTCATAATGGAAATGGATAGGAGATAGATGAGTGCTGCCTAAAATATACAAATATCTGAAAGAAAAATAACACCAAAGGTTAGCAGTGGGTCGCTAGTGGGTGTGTTTTGCTCTTTTATAGACCCCAGGATCCCCCACCTTAAGGGCAGGAAGAAGCAGGAATATGGGAGTAATCATTAGGAACCCATTGTGCCTGGTAGTGGGATCCTGGAGGTTAGTGTTAGCAACCCATGGTCTTGTCTTTGATAACCAGTCCTCATCCTCTGGGCCTCATCCTCTGACTGCCTGACCTTCGCTCCTGCCTCAGTTTGCTGAGGAATGTGACATGTCCTATCCACTCAGACCAGAAGGGGCTGTAGGCAGACTGCTTTGGGCAAAGAAAGCATGCAGTACAGTGGGCTCACTTTATTGAAATATTCTCTTAACCTTGCCTCTTACTTCTCAGCATCCTCATCTATTTGTCCCCTTAAACAGCACTTGGAGGTAATGTTATTAGTTCCACTGAAAGAAATGGCGTTGGTGCCTGTGGAGTTTTTCTGGCTGCAGATACCTGGGGCACAGCCCAGAAATACTATGACGTTGACATCCCTGGGAGCTGCCCTCAACCAACCCAGGACAGTATTTAGTAAATAAATACCCAAGCTTCCTCCACCCTTGAATGGTCTAATGCAAAGGCACACTGTATACATGCCTAGGTCAGGGCTCCCCAGTGGGATGGAGCTCAACAGCCCACAGTGATTGTCTGCTCGTTAACAAACCTGTGTCGCCTTCTTCTTTCTCCATGTCTCACTTTCCATTTTCTTTGTGCTATGACCCAAATGTCTGTGTCCCCAAAAATTCCTAGGTTGACATCCTGAACTCCAAGGTGATGGTATTTGGAAGTGGAGCCTTTGGGAGGGGGATTAGGTCATTATGGTGGAATCTTCAGGAAGGGAAATATTAAAAAGGCCCCAGAGAGCCAGCTAGCCATTTTGATAAGGTGAAGACACAAGAATGAACCACCTGGAAGATGTCGAATATGCCCCTGTCGTGGGCAGGAATCATGAGAAACAAACTTCTGTCACTTGGAAACCTCCCCATCTATGGTATTGTGTGACAGTAGCACACGGAGAGTCTGCTTCCTGGGAGCCTAATACTATTTACACTCCAATCCACTTCTGAGTCTCAGGATCCACTTCTGAAGGTATCACTCAAAGAAACCCATCTAAAAGAGAAAGTCACTGGGACTTAACAAGTCAGTAAGTTGCCCGAATCCTACTACTGTTAAGTGCCAGATTCCAGCCCACCAGGGACTCCACTTCATCACTATACTAACCACCCAAATAGCACTCATACCCCTAAGGGTACTTGAGAAGCTTTTAGGTTGTACACGGATGGATTGTTATTGTTTTTATTTTAATATGTATTAGAAAAGTCATGCAATACTTCCTCAAATTTGAGACACTTTCAAGTGTTACATACCAGTATTTTACATACTGCTAAGGAAAAAAGAACACTGCTCTGACCCAAGGATTTCTCATCCCTGAACACTCCTATTTAATTCCTATTGAAAGAATTCTGTTTGGCTTCTTTAGACATAGAATATTAAAGTAGATTACATGTAAGCATACATAAAAGGAAACATATGTGAGAATTTAACTGGCTAAAATATTTCTTATATTTCTTTACAATCAAGTGTTCAATTCTGAACCACTTTCAAACTCCCGGGCAACGATGCCCAAGTTTTCCCATAGGATGTCGCCGTCTGTGTCCCCTATTACCTGGAGGAAGGTGTATTTCTTCAAGACTGCCCTCCACTGCCTTCAGGATTTTCATCCACTTTGCAACATCCATTCTTCAAGTTTTATCTGGTGCCTTCTTCTTCTCACCAGAAGGTGTCAGGCAATGACAACTATGTCCTGATTGCTGCCTGGTCAACAGAAAGTGCAAGGACAGGAACTGGCATCTGTTGTAAGGCTCATCATGATTTCAGAAACTCTGACAGAGTGAAAAAATGCATATTGTGTATCTAAAGAAAAAAGGCACATCAAATCTCTGAGAGAATTGCTTAAGATGGGACCAGAGCTGTGTGTAAGCTTTAAAAAGGTGAGTTACCTTAAGGAGATTTTTTAAATAAAAATTTGTCCAGACAATAACATGGATATGTCAAAAGTTGTGAAAATAGCCAATAACTGACCTTGGAGAAACCAATATTACCTCATGCCCCAGAAGAAAAGGGAGAAGTATGCAGCCATAGGCAGAAGTCTCTGTAGCCAGCAATGATTGTATTTAATATACCATTCACATGCACTCATAATGTGTATAATGTAGACCCAATTCCAGGGCTCTCAACAATTGTATTCACAGCATAAAAATCAGCTTTAAATTACTACTTAAAGAGTGATAAAACTGGGTGTGGTGGTGTACACTATAACCACATCAACTAGAGAAGCTGAGGCAGGAGGATCACAAGTTCAAGGCCAGCCTCAGCATCACTATCTCTTACAGTGAGATCCTTTCTCAAAAAAAAAAAAAAAAATCAAGTCTAGGGACTAGGGACGTAGCTCAGTGGTAGAGCACCCCTACGCTCAATCCCCAGTACCAAAATATAAAAAATAAATATTGGAACCTAAAGAACAGAATCAAAACAAGTTAATAGATCCCATCAGGTTGAAGATGAAATGAGGATTAGTGTTTGTAAATAAAGACCAATGACTGGCAGTATTTATTTAAAATCAAGCTTACACTTTTTTTGTTGTTATTGTTGTTGTTGTTGTTGTTGTTGTTGTTTTGAATAGCTTTATTATTTATTTATTTATATGAGGTGCTGAGAATTGAACCCAGGACCTCACACATGCTAGGCAAGTGCTCCATCACTGAGCCACATCCCCAGCCCACCTACACTTCTTTTTAATTGGACATATTTTTATATCCTTACAGGCTCTTTCACTGGTAGTTGCTAAGATTAAATATCATCTCTGAAGGGGACTTGTATCCCATGCTTGCCAACAAAGAACATAGCTTTATATTTTCACATGACAGATGTTTCCATGAAAGGACTCACTCAAACTAATAAATAGTTACACTCGTTATCCTTAATAATCAAACTTAAACAGAATCCCAATTAAGAAATTTTCTCAAAGTCGTCCCCTTAAGACATTAACTCAAGTTCAGACACTATATCTAACATATGTTCAAATTGAAATCTGAATAGAACAACCACCAAAATGCATGATTGTTTAAATCTACCTCAGCACTTGAAGGAAGTAAGAGTCTGTGAAAGAAAATGATTCAGACAATGTATGAATGTTCCATCGGCTCTATCTGTTAAGGTCTACTACCTAGAGCTAATTAAAGGAAACTAAAGGAGCGGGGGAAATAATCAGGTGGCATGCCTTCCAATTTTAGGTAGGTCAAGTGTTGTGAACTTCTCATGGCTCTTAGATAAAATAGAAACTTCACATTTTTTTTTTCAGTTAAAAGTGTTCTGGTGGGTTTTTAAACATTTAATCCCAGCCAGGCTTGGTGGTGTACACTGTAATCCCAGCGACCCAGGAGGCTGAGGCAGGAGGATCACGAGTTCAAAGCCAGCCTCAGCAATTTAGCAAGGCTCTGAGCAACTCAGCAAGACTCTGTCTTTAAATAAAATATTTAAAAGGACTGGGGATAAGCGCCCCTGGCTTCAATCCTCCATACTGAAAAAAAAAAAAAAAAAAAGTATCTTCCAGGATCCTGCCAACTAATAGTGGAAAGCACATGCCTTGGGATTATTGGGTTGTAATATTTAGGAATAGATTTTTTTTCTCTTTCTATACCCCAAAAGCAGAAAGGCTGAAAGTGAGAAAATTTCTCTATCAGAAACTGTCCTTCTCTCCCTCCCCTGACTTCCCCTTCACTCTGCTTATCTTTTTTTTTTTTTCCTCTTCTATCTAATCCAATTAAACCTCTGGCCACTCAAATGCTTAACAAAACAAAAAGACAATACAGAGGAAGATCAGAACCAAATTACTGATTGCAAATCTTGTTACTCAGCTTGGCACAGGTTAAAACTATTGGGGTGTCCTTTTAGGACAGTGGTTCTGAAGGACAGAGGGTGCACACCACACCCCCTCTAACAAACACAGAAGATTGCTTCCCTCAGGATGCAGCACAGAGGTTGCTCTTTTGGCCATCCAGCAGCTCTCGCCACTTCTTTGAACATCAGCATCCAGATTTTCCTTTATAGATTTGTCATCCTTAAGTCTCAGTCCATATATTTCCAGAGCAACTGCATGTCCCCTCCCTCTGCTAAGCACTATGACTTAGACTCCTCGAAACAGGCCTATGCTATCCCCTACCTGCTGCCAGTTCTGGGCTCACCTTTTCAGGAGAATTGCCCTCAATCGCCCATCAGGAACCACCTGGATAGAAGTTCACACATACACCCCACACCCCGCATCTCTAGGCAGCCCACTGCCGACCATTAACTGAAGCTGGGGGAAAGTCAGCTCTCCTTGCTTAGGGAGGAAGCACCCCAGGGTTTCAATGGTGCACTGATGGGATCCTGTTGCAGCTGTGACCACATCCTTGTTTAGTCTTCCACTACCCTGGATCCTGCTTTCCTCATTCCCTTCTGAGAGTGTTCCTTAAAATTTCTGAGTTTCTGCTTTTAGGGAACTCAGCCTAAGGTATTACTGCTTCCCTGCATCTGCCTCTCCTTTTCTCCTCCCGAAAAGCCTCAGGTCAAGGACTGTTTCACTCCTCATTAAGCTGTACCTGAAGCTAGACCTGGTCCTGGCGGTTTTCAATTAAGTAAGCCATTGAATTGTCTTTTTACCTTTATCTAGTTTGGTTTATGCTTTGTGTTGCTTATAAACTAGAGCATGTGAGAAGTCATCCAGGGCACAATTATTACCTGGTTCCTCTATTCTTTAGTCTGTAATTATTTGTCAGTCATCTACCGTGTTCCAGCAACTGGGTTAGGATCTGTGAGTATAAAGATGGAAAAGACATAGCCCTCGGCCTCCTGAAAATTTCTGTAAGAATGCAGAGTAATAAGCGTAATGAAAACAGTTGTGCTGTGGGAACACAAGAGGGGCAGAGGGAGAAATGCCTGTCAGGGAAGATTTCCCAGAGACACCAAAATCTGCCCTAAAACTTAAAGAAAGCAGAAGTCACTTAGGAGAAAAGTATTCCAGGTAGAGGAACTATTATGCAAATGAACAAAGATAAGCTAAAGCACAGGACATCTGGGGGAATCCAGGGACATCAGTATGGCCCGAGTGTGGGTTCCTTGCCCTACCTAAGTTCCTGTTATGCCTCAGAGTGTGTGGAAAGCTGCTCAGTCCATGCAGGGGAGTAGCTGGATATTTGGGGGAGGGGGCAGCCCACTCCTGAGGAAAACAGATAGGACAGTGGAAAACTAAGCACATACTGGAGACCAGCTGCAGTAGGATCCCATGACTGCTCTAAAATTGCTTCCTGAAGGTGAGTCCTCCTTAATGCAAGGAGAATAGCTTTTTACCTCAAGGTCCAGTCCTCCAGCCAACAAAAACAGAATCAGTAGATACTTTGCCCCAATCCCATCTCTGGGAACAATTCTGAGAGTAATTCTACACAGATCCTCACATGATCTCCAGTGAACTGAGGCCAGTCACCCACTGCTGTATCCAGCTCAGTATCAAACCCAGAATTGACATTTTTATTCCTTTTCATTCTCCTGATTCCACGATTCTATCCCATAGAACCACCTACCAATAACCACCTCCACCTGAATTCACGTCTCAGGCTGGGGTCTCTACAGAACTAAGCTAAGATAGCCATGATAGGCAATCTGGACTTGACCCCCAAAAGGGTGGGAAGTCAATAAAGGATTTTGAGTGAAAATTCGACACAATCATTCCTATTCTTTAGAAAGGTCTATCCAGGGTGCCCTGCAAGACATGGAGAGAGTCTGAACTAATAGAAATACAGATCCAATACTGATGAGATAAGTGGGTCCCATCCCTCTTATCTCCTAGAGCCTAGGTGAGCCAGCTGAATTTCTACCCTATCCCTAAGCTTGTTGATCCTAAGGACAGCAGGTCTGCAGGCCCAGGTTCCCCTTCAGGCAGGCTAAAACCAGCTGGATCTAAGAGAGTTGCCAGACTGATGCCCGGCATTCCCTGACTTCATTATCATCCCACCTGCCGGCTAAATGCACACAGCCCGGTGCCATGACAGTTGACGATTGCCATGATGACAACTGGAAAGGACCACAAAAGGAACAAAGTACCTTTGCTACCGCAACTCCAATCTCTGGAAAATCTCCACCCTTCCCAGAAGCACAAGAGTATTCCTCCCCTCTACCGGCCTACTCCTCCCTCTGGCTTCTCTCACCCTGCAGTTATAACTTCCTGATCCCCAGGGCTCCAGAAGCCCATCTGTGAGCCTTTCCACCTGTTTCTCCTGTTCTTGGCCAAGAACAAACCTTCCTTCACTACTTGATTTGACCTCAATCTTGTCAAGTTATTGGCTCCACACTTCCAAGAGAGAAAAAGGACCAGTTTGGGGTCAAGAACTGACAAAACATGATCATTGACTGGTTGAGGGAGGAGGAGGAGGAAAGAATAGAAGCTGGAAAAGGAGCAAATGATTATAAAGAGACCCTCACGGGCAGTTCTGTACCCTAAAGAATAATCACCAGCTGACCAGTCTTCATGATTTTCTTTATTCATTTATTCAAACATGTTTCTTCTATGTGCCAAGTTGTAACACACCATTAAATTCTGTAGTAACCACAAAAGTATAATAGGTGTCATAAAACGTCCACACGTCCATGCACCCACACTCACACCACACACACACACACACACACACGTATGTGTGCACAAATATGGTCCTTGAGATATAGTAGTTTACAATCTAGAGGAGAAAAGGCACCGCTATAGTAAACAAACAAGCAAAGCTAAATAATGTTTCAAGAGAACATATAAATAATGTCGTAGGGTGGGAAAGCTTTTCCTCTACTCTCTTAAATTTGGTGACCAGGGACCTGCAAATTAAGGTAACAGACAGATTAGCAAGAGAAAATGGATCTAATTCCAAATGTGTGCACAGAAATTGTCAAAGAAATGTGACTCAAGGAGGCAGTTAGAATTGGGACAGAGGGGTACTTCTGGGAGAACAAATGACTTCTCGGAAGTGAGAAGAAAGGGCACTTATGGAAAAAAATAAATGGCTTTTTGGAAAGATAAATGGGCCCTTAGGAGAATAGATGGGACATATGATAGTTTTGTGACAATGTCAGTTTGGGTGTGATGCCAATTTCTCTCCAAAAAGAGATCAGAAGTGCTCCCAGAGACCAGCTACTTGGAAGGGGATTTATAACAACTGGGCTCTTGTGGGAGACTCTGCTTTTAGGCAGATAAGGGATTTCAGAGACTTCAATGTCTTTAGCTTGAAATAGTTTTTATGCCACACTGGACTCCTTCAATACATAAGTTCTGAGGAGGTCACACAGAGCACAGAGTGGTCAACGAGGACTGAGTTTTACGATGTAGGTAAATATGAATTAATAGTTTATTTACTTATTAAATCTTGTTCTACAGCAGGCAGAACATTTCTTTTCTGTGCTATATTATTTAATGAAATGGGTATTATTCATCCTCCACTCCCTTTCTGAGTCATAATTTCAAGGAGAGAATTGGTAACAAATGTGTGCGTGAGCACAGGCCTGCAGTGCATAATGGAGTAAAGTCTGGGGCAAGTGAAGGAATTATGCCAGGCAATATGTGTGGGTGACCTGAGAGGGAAGACTAGGCAGCTGGGCAACATAGAGTCCATCATGCTTGGCTAGAGTTAGGATGAGATGGGATACGGAAAATAAGACATTATATATTCTTAGAGCAATGGAAGATTATAAAATACATTCATAAACTATAGCTCCAGGATCTTCGTGCCAAGTTCACTGGACGAGGAGCAGTTACTCAGGAGACTATTAAGAAATTAAACATGTAGTCATGAAGTCCTTGCACTGTCTGTATTGGGAAAGGGAAGAAAACGGTAGGTATAAAAGAAGAAACAAAGTCAGCCTGTAGTCCCAGCTACATGGGAGGCTGAGGCAGGAGGATGACCCAAGGCCAGGAATTCAAGAATTTGAGATCAGCCAGGGCAACATAGCAAGATCCTGTCTCACAAAAGGAAAAGAAGAGGAAAAGGAAATCTTTAGGTTTAAGCCAAGAGTTTTGGAAGGGTGGTACACTTACCGTAATGGAGAATTCGGGGTCTTGACCAGCCATTGAGAAGGCAAGAGCACAGCTCTAGAAGAATTCCCAGGGTTCCCAAGGACTGGGACAATTTTTGCTCACTTCTGCCCTCAGAGTGGTAAAATCTGTTGTCCTAAGTACCTGCAGAAAGATGCATGAGTTTATTAGGGATGATAAACAAAGACCAACCAACCATAGTCCCCTGTTTATCCTCAACTATAGGACAGGAACTGACAGGGGTGGAGGAGGCAGATCTGGAATCAGAAACCAATTTTGGGCTTCTAAACCACTTTTATAATTTAGATAAGTCAATTATTTCTAAAATTATTTATAAGTCAATTATTTCTAAATTTCAGCTTCTTCTTGCATAAAAGGAGAAAACCAACACCCTCACTCTATTTCTAAACAGGTATTGGCTGAGCACACGCTACCAAGTACTTCAATCACGTGCGTAGAAGTGATTCTGCCCCCATGGGGATCTATCCCTTTTTCTCCTTGGCTCTTCTCCCTTTCCCTCTTTGGGTTCTCTTTCTCTCTCTCCAGCCCTCTTTTCTAGATATTTTCCAATAATATGTATTTGTTAACTGGAATCGTGGCCCAATCTTCCCTTTAAAGGACAAAAGCACTTCCCTCTCTTCCACTTACCCCATGTAAACAGAGAGCCAATAGGAGCATGATAAACATCAGAATGAACACAGGGAATTTACTAGACTCACGACACCAAATAAGCATGTTCCAAGCAGAATTATCACCACAGAATGAGTCAGGCACTTACTTATAAAGTGCACCACTTGCGATTTTACTTAACTATTGCACTCTTGTTTTGTTTTCTTTTCTTTTTCTAATGAAAGGGAGTGTGCCTTATTTCCTGCAAATCACTCCACCTTGATTACATTCTTGGTTCAAAGTCTTGGAGGAAAGAGACTCTGCTTTCCTCACATCTGGACCTCTCCAGGCTTCTAATGCAATTGTCTACTCAGAATAAGCACTAGGTTGGCGTGTACTGAAAGCAGGAATAAAGTTTTAAAAGAATGAAACTCATTACCATTTTATCATTGTTGCACTTATATCTGTTCAAAACTAAATACTCAAAAAAAACCCAAACAAACAGAAATGCCATTGACTCTTTTCCTTCTGTTCTATACTTAACTGCTTTTAAGTACATCCATAACAAATGTCCTTCACAGGGACAATGACACATGCTGCGGATCATGTTGAAGTGGGTCCATTCTATGAGAACTGCCTCCTGAGGACAGCATAGAAACTACTTCTTTCCTTGTCCTACCACTGGTCTCCCCAACATGGTCATCTGTGCATGAAATTCTACAAGGGAGACCCATTTCCCTGAGTCTGAAGATGTTCCTATTTATCTATTCTGTGGGTATTTATGAAGCATCTACTGTGACTGTGCTAGAAATACAAAGACAAACAAGACATGGTGCCTGCCCTTAAGAGTCTCAAACCAGTTTAAAAATACTGTTAAGTCAGAAATTCTGCTGAGAAGGGTCTCATGCTAAGCTGTTCTCAACAACACCCTGTCATTTCTTTTTGTTTGTAAAAGCAATGAAACTTCCTGATGGCTCCCAGAGAATTTTCTTTCGCCTGCAGTTTGAGGTCTGCAACACCAGATGGCACAACTGGAGTCAGCGAAGGTTCTCTTAATTTGGAATATAAAGAAGGCGAAGCATCACAGCTGAACACTTGTTCCTTAAAACATAAAATGCAATTTTGTTGTACTATGCTAATATAACTTGAATGAAGAAACAAAACATATCTCAATAATTAGATATAAAACACTACAACATAAGCTACAGCAACCCATGTCCTTTGGACTTTCAGTCTCCAAACCCATTTGTCCTGTGATTCTGTTCGTTGGGAAACTCCTAAGTCTTTTCTAATCAGGCAAAGTCTTTCCCTCGCCCTCACTTCGGATCTTTGACACCTAGCGCTGTGCTGTGCTTTCCTGTCTGCTTCCCTGGCCTCCAATGCCTCATGCTGCTACCCCACCTGCCTAATTGCTTTACTGATCTCAAACTGTAGTACAGAAGGTCCGTTCCTATTCAAATCCTGACATTTTTTGAGTCTAAAACATAAACTCCGGAAACATCGATCTGGAATCAAAGTGGGAATGATTGTCCCCCCCCCTAGAGGATATTTGGCAGTATTTGGAGTCATTTCTGATTGTCACAACTGGGGCCTGGGAGGATGCTACTGACCTAGAGATTAGAGGCCAGGCATGCTGCTAAGGTAACTACAAAATGCAGGACCCCCTACTCCAGCAAAATCAGACCCAAATATCAAGAGATTGAGAAACTTCCACTTAGAAGAGGATCCAGAAGGAATTTAGAGTCATAGGAGTCTTATCAAAGCAGATGTGGGAGTGTAAAGAAAACGCAAATTATTTCCCTTCACGACAGAGTTTTTCATGTAATAGTTCAGGTGTCCTGTCATCTGTCAGAAGCTTAGCTTTTGAAAGATCACTATAAATGTGGTTCTCCTTTTCTTCCCAAAGTGAAAACATACTCCAAGCATAACCTCACAAATACCATTTTTAGGTAGATCAGAACCTCAGGTTTTTCACACTTGATTAAAAAATTAGTTGACACCAGTAGGGAATAAAATAAAAAGCCAGCTGTGTGGAAGGACCCTAAACACTTGCTTGTTTAGTTTACCTGCGACAGCACTGAACTCCATCCTAACCCTGTGCTCCTGGAAAGCAGCTATTGTTAAGAAATCCCCCTCAAGTCCTATTGTGAACCAAGAAAGGGCAAACTCCAAAGGGCTGGCCTACCCTCATGAATATTCCTGGACCCTCTGTGTCCACCCTTCCTCTATGACAAACTCCAGGTTTCTTCCTTTCTTTGAGATGGTCATCATTCATAAATGTTGTCCCTATTGTGAGAGCCTGAACAAAATCAGCTCCTTCGTGGTTTTTCAGATCCTATCTATTCTCATTTCTTTTATTATATTTTATAAAGAGCCAGGTCAAGGTGGCCCGGGGAGACTATTATCTCCAAATCTCCTGCAGGTCGCACAAACTGAGTGGAGAAAAAAAGGAGGAGTTGGAGTTCTCGCTCCTGCATCCTCCTTGATGATGCTCTGGTAACTTCCAGTTTCCATGTTGTTTGTGATCAGAGCCTCGCCCAAGTCGGGGTGCTGGCACTTTTTCTTCTACGCCTCAGCTACCCTGCTAAGTTAACAACCTCCTGCCTCCTCTGCCTCCAGAGGGGTCTGATGTGTGGGTCAGTTAGGATGAATCTCATAGGATAACCATAGATGAGGTGAAGTGACTGGATGGAGCCCCTGTTCTCTATCAGCTAATGAGGGGTACAGCTGGCAGGACTTTGGGCAGGGGAAGGATCATCCTCTCCCAGCAGCTCCCTTCCAAACCTTTCACTCAGCAACCCCCAACACGTACCTCACCTGCCTTACCTGCCACTTTAATCCACGCGCCCTTTACAGGATAATTCTCTCCCTTAATTTGCTTTCCAATCATTATTACCACATAAGCATTGAAACCCCACCTTCTCCGGGGCTTTCTCTTTGGATTCCCAAGAGCACAGTTTGGAAGTCAAAAGAGCTAAAAGCTAACTCTTTACATCTCTGCATTGAAATTCCTCTTCCTCTTCAAGAGATGCCAACAGAATGTAAGCAGGGACCAGGTCAGAAAGTGTGGGAAGGAAAATTTTTTTTAAAAATGAAAAGATTAAGGGCTGGGGATGTGGCTCAAGCGGTAGTGCGCTGGCCTGGCATGCATGCGGCCTGGGTTCGATCCTCAGCACCACATACCAACAAAGATGTTGTGTCCGCCAAAAAAACTAAAAAATAAATAATAATAATAAAATTATCTCTAAAAAAAATGAAAAGATTAATGTGAAGTGGAATTTTGGGACGATTGTTCTGGATTTCAGCGGCTGGTAATCATTCATTGTGTAAGCACTGGCAACCAGAGGGGTATAAGTTATAACTGAGAAGGAAGAGAGGAGCGGTGGTTGGGAAATTTTGAGCCAGGGTGACTGTAAGGATGGAGGTAGCTGTGGTGGCAGAAAAGGACAAACTGGGAATGAGGTGAGTCTAGGAAAGATGAAGGCTATGACCCATGCCCAGGGCATGTGGAGGCTGAGGTGATGGAAAGTAGAACATGGAGCTGGAGATGGGGGCAGGGTTTAGGGCTGCAGCCTTATCCATCAAGGCCGGGTTAGCAGCAGATGTTACATTAGCAGTCCTTGAAAGTAAGGCAGAATCTGCGTGCCCACAGACAAAGAGTAAAGAGGGAGGATCAAACTGCTAAAAATCAAAACAGGGGGAGAGACTGCCCACATTGAAGAGGAAAGAGTAAAAGAAAACTTGACAGTAGTAAAAGAAGAAACTAGAAGAAACAAAAGTGTGCTCTTGAGATCATTTGAGAATAAAGGGAAAGATACTGACTCTCAAAGGAAGTGCCCATAAAACCACTGAAATGCAGAAAGCATTCAGGAATAATCGTAACTCCTAAACGACATGCCCTTGGTCCGTGGCCATGTAAAATGAGGGGAATGCTCAAGTGCAGGGGAAACTGGAGAAAACTGTATAGCTCCACTCTGGCTCCACCTCTGTCCAGCCCCTAACAAGGGCCCTCTATATCCTATATGCCAGGGTTATAATATCCTATATACAGTGTCACAAATATAACGCTCGTGCTACCAAAGGGTAGCAGTGTCTCCCTTTGGAGATTCTCCCTTGAATGTGTATTCCTTGCTTTATCCCAAAGGCATCTCTCTTGAGGTTGCCCCTATTCTCCCTTGACTACATGTCTACTTTCTTAAATAAATCTCTGTCTTTGGCATATCCTGAAGTTCTTTTCCATCACATATGCCAATAACCCTGCTGGTTCTGAGTCAGGGTCCCTCTTCTCTCTGGGAATTCCAAGAACCTTTCTTTGGAGATATGGGGTCTCCAATGACATTTTCATACAAATCCCAGAAAGGCTTTTGGTCAAGTCGGAGAAAGCAGTCCCCACTGTTCAAATGCTGCAGAGAGATCGGGTATGTGAGTTTGAGAGAAAGGTGTTGAGTTGGGTCATCAGAATATCACCAGGGACCTCACAGAACAGTGGGGGTTGGGTTGAAAGTGGAGGGATTGAGTGCAAACTAAATCTCAGACACCCTGATTGCCCTTCCTGAGCCCTGGGAAGCCATTCAGGAAATTTGTGGAGCTTGTAAGAGCATCCTTATTCATAAAAGCACAGCTTAAAAAAAAAAAAAAACTACCTTTGACCTAACCACTTTTTAAATAAAATTTTACATTCATGACTTGGGTTTCAAAAGAATGAATGAGGAAAGCACTAGAATTAAATTCCAAACCCTTGGACCAATTGACATTATGGTTCTGCCTCCTACTAACTGTGAGCCCTTGGCGCCACCTGTATTTCTTCCTCCATGGAAGAAGAAATGGAGCACTTGAAGGATTAATAGTCAACACAACTGACTTATTTTGTTTTTACTACAGTACAATATATAATATGTAAGGCACAATACAAAATTACCATAGAAAATTCCATCAAGTCAGTCTAGAAACAGGAATGCTGAGGTTTTATTTCAAAATCACATAGTAATGACAGAATGCCAAGCCTTCTAGGCTTACAGTAAATAAAATTAAATTAAGAGGATGTACTGCCCTTCACACATGGAACACTCATACTTAAAAGAAAAGCAGATTCTCAGGAACACTAGTCTATTTTTGATTGATTGGTCGACTCTGATTCTCCCTTTAGGGTTCCCAGCTTCTCAGCTGGGTACATCCTCTGCAGGGCAAGGAAACTTGCCCATGGTTACCTAAAAATGCAGCAAGGCTTCCTGGAATATCAATTACGTTCAGATTTTGAGTAAGAAGTATTTTCTGTATTATAGCACAAGGCAATGGGGTACATTATTATTCAGGAATGCAAAATATATACGATGTTGGGGATAAAGCCCAGAACTCCAAAATGATTTTAAAATTCTTACTGGCTATTTGGAGCCACGCAACCCCAGAGAGCTAGAAATTTTTTTAAAACTCTTATCTGCCACCTGTTAAATGCAATTCAGTGAGAAAGTTTGATCCGCACAATTGCATTACCCCTTTTCCTCTTTTTGACTTGTAAAGACAAAATCTATGTTATCTCTTTCTAGGATTGATATTCAGCACTATCAATAGGATCCCCTTCTTATAGTAGGTTGCTCTTTGTCATACCCACAATTAAAGTGTTTGAATACCTGGCCTGATATGCTCATTTTCATTTGTGTATTATTTCCCGATTCTTTTACCAAATCTTACCCTCTCATTTAGAACAGGGCTATTCCTAAGTTTTCTAATGCTCCTGAAAAATGTCTATTCCTATACCTGTCATACAGTAGGCACTTAATAGAATCAAACCAAAGACTGTAGATGGCTGATTATTACCGTTGGTTCTAATAAGTCACATTATGGAAATTTACTTTTTGAAAGTACTATGGTAAAACACATTTTCTCATCTGATTTTCACTAGCACTTAGTGAGCTAAGATCAGAGCACAAGTCACTAAGTCAGAAATAAAACCATGTCTTCTTTGCTGGGTGCAGTGGCTCATGCCTGTAAATCCCAGTGGGTCAGGAGGCTAAGGCAGGAGGATCAAGAGTTCAAAACCAGCCTCAGCAAAAGTGAGGCACTAAGCAACTCAGTGAGACTCTATCTTTAAATAAAATACAAAATACGGTTGAGGATGTGACTCAGTGGCCAAATGCCCCTGGGTTCAATCCCAGGTAAGCCTCCAAATGAAAAATAATAATAAAAAAACATGCCTTCAGAAGACTTTTTATTTAAACAATCCAAAATAATTACCGAGCATCTCCTGCATAGTAGGCCTTCTCTTGGGCTTCAGAAACACAGTGTGTATATAAATTCAGCTCAACCAGCAGGCCAGATACTCATACCCTTGCGAAGGAAGAACCCAGACAGTAAATAATTAATTGCCAATGTGTTCACTGCTAAAAAGAAGTTCAGGGAACCGCAGAAGCATACGCCCGAGGAGATTTCTTGTTTCATTAGTGAATATTAGATTCCCACCTGCTCTTGACAAAATCTCTCTCTAGACACCCCTCTTTGAGTGCACCAAGTCCATTTCAGATCAGGAGAAGAAAATATGCCTTGGAAAGTGCTGAGGCTGAAGTAGTGGAGGAACGAAATAATGGGAACAAATATTTGGCCAAAGATCTATTTAACACGTCTAACTCAAGGAGGACAGGTCCAATAAAGCCTTATTAACATAAGAATATGCTTCTTCTTTATTATCTTTTCAGCCATAGATTTGAATTTTGATGGGGCAATTTTCAGGCTTAAATGCTTGATTGCTACTAATAGCCCAAGTAATAGCACAACTGTGTTTAGGTTTAATTTATAGGCATTTAGCATAACTTTAAGTATGGATTTCTCTAAAGGCACTTGCTATTTCACTGGAACTAACCTGTAAGGACATCAAATGCTGCTGGAATAATTGTGAGCTAGGCAAATGGCTCCATGTACTTATCTCAACCTTACAGACCCCTTGTAATACACAGTGAGATGACCAACAATTGCTAACACCGCTGACAGGTTTTCCCCCTATCAATCTTGTTTTAGTAGATTTCCAGTAGTATAGACAAGTTAAATTTTATTTTTCAAATTCTTTAGGCTTTTTAAAAGACTTCTCTTACCTTTCTCAAACAAGATGGTGTGGCAAACGTTTGTGCTGTTGCGCTCTCGGACTTCACCTGCAGTCCACCAGGGGCCGCTGTTCTGCAAGCAGTGACATCTCTAGGGGCCGATCCTCTTTCTAACTCCAAACAGGACCAAGGAACTGCTGGAAAAAATATATATATATTCCTTTTAAAAATTGGTGTTTTTCAACAGTGAAACAACTCTGCTAAGTGAAAGAAGCCATACACAAAGGCCACATGTTGTATGATTCTATTTGTATGGAATTTCATGATTTGAGATCATAAAACTCATCAGAGAAGAACCAATGTCAGGCCTCTAACAGTTGAATCTTGCATCAGAATGGAGGCAGCTTCTGACCCATATCTCCTATTATGATACCTCTGGCCCCCAGTTGACACTCTTGCAGCCCACATTTTATGTCCACCCTGGCACCATGATCACCACCCTGCACCTCAGTTGCACTATGTGTCCTAGACACAGTGAAAGGGACCCCGCAGAATCCTGCCTGGAAGAGACAGGGAGTCAACCGCCTGCAGGCGAGTGGCTGGTGGACAAGGCCACTTTCCTCTGTCCTTGGCCAGACGCTGCTGAGGTGCATTCTGTACGGCTCCTGAGAAGGTTCCAGGGAAAGCTGAGCACCAGTTCCTCAAAGCAATGGCAACTCAAGATCACAGCCATTCTAAGGATCCTCCTCCTTTCCCTTTTCACCCATCCCTGCCCCACTCCTGCTCTCTGTCGTCATTTCCCAAAATGAATACCAGAACACAAGCCACTGCCTCAGGATCTGCTTTCCAGATGGGACACCCTGCCTGTCAGAGACCCCTGTCAACAAAGCAAATCAGATGGGAGAAGGGAGTCACTGCAATGGTCAGCTTCTGACACAGCTCCCACCGGCCTGGGCTTTAGGCTTGAGTCAGACCCACCATTCCTGTAGCAGAACCTACTGCGGCAAGATACATAAGAGACCACAGGCATGAGAGGAAGGTAAATGGCCCTGAAATTGGCCACTCCTGGACCCAAACCAGGGCAGCACAATCACCACTTCTTGTGTAATGTGGCACAGGGGTTCCATGAAGGGAGGACAATCCAGCCACTTCCAGATCTTTCTGGGACAGTTAGATGAGTAAATCTTCAAACAAAATTAGACAGTAGATAGCAGTAATTTCCCGCTCAGAGCACACATAATTTCCTTTTCCACTGCCTAACACTATTTCCATATGAACCTAGAAAGGAGCATGCATTTTGATAGCAGGTAGATCTGATTGTAAGTCCTGTGTCCCCTGTTATTAGCTGTAAAGTCTTGGGCAAGATCTTCACCTCTTTCTTCCAGTTTCTTATATCCGGGAGACAATGACATAAACTTATTTCAATGAGGTTTAAATGAAACAGAAACTATGTACCCATCTATAACCCAGACTAAATAAAGGTGTTTCATTTTCACCAGTCTATACTAATGCATACCGGTTCCAGATTTTTTTTAAGATTCCATATTAAGTACTACTGTCTGTACAAAATCATTTCTGATACTTCTCCTCTTCATTATCTATCATCTCTTTAAACTTTGCCACGTTGTTGAGTTTGGTTTTTGTGTTTGGCTTTACATAACCAGCACAGCATCTGATTCCTTCCTTGTTCCCTCCTTACACACATTGTAAAGTAAGATCAGAACCTAATGCATTGATGGGGCTCCTGTGGTGTGGGTACCTTACGGCACAACTCTGCAGTGGCATATACACAGAGGGGTATGGGAACTGCATTCCTGAATTTGATCAGCATGTGAATGTTTCATAGGTAGAGGAGTCTCCACAAGTGGTTGTTAGATGAACTCTGTGATTCTTGTCTCATTCATCTGTAAATCAGACTCATCTAGCCATGAGCCAGGAGGTCAACCCTGTAGGACTGACATGCTACATCCCTTATGCTGCCAGGATCACGAGCTTCTTGGCTTTCTATCAACCATCTTTGACATGTGGCTATTTGTTCCATCTCTGTTACTGCATGCCACAATATTGAGCATCATATCTATGTTCAACCTAAGAAAAAAGGAGAGCAGAGATAGTTCCATCAAAATCTAGCCCTTTCTACCAAGAAAGCAAAGGCATTAATAAGAGCACCTAGAATACTTCTGTTTAATCACTTCTTCAGAATTCATTGCAGATTCCTTTTGATATGCTCACTCACAGAACCTCATCATTTACAAATCCAAATCCAAGCAGCATTTTTATTATGCAACTATTATGAACCAGGCACTGTGATAACCATGTCACAGTCATTATCTTTCATCTCCCTTCTGTTCTTCTCTCCCTTCAACAAATATGTATTGAATGTCTACCAAAAAAATAGTAAAATTGAGCCTAAATTACAAGGAAGAGTGTCAATCATGACCCAGAAGAAGTGCTGTTTCTCAAGACTTTTACTCCAAGAGATAAGCCATGAATGAACTATAGGATCTACCCAAAAGTTTTCTACCCTAAAATGAGCCATGCACCACCACCCCCCCACACACACACACACAAGCACACACCAGAGGCATTTGGTTGGAAGTGAAATGTTGTTTTCCAGTTTTATTTTAATAAGAGATAAAACTTTGTTTATCAACACTGGCCCAAAATGTATATAACCAGAATTGTAAACTACCATATAATAATTTCAACTACACAAATCTCACTCTCCTTATATTGTAAGAGCCAGTTAATCTAAAAGCTATACTCTCTTGTATGTATTTTACATTTGCAGAGTGAGAGAGAGGACAAAGATTAAAAACCTTCATGCAAAACTCCAACATTGACTATGTGTTTTTTCTTTGAAATGTGCCAGGAACTAAACAGAACAACAACTATATTCTTAAAAAAAAAAAAAGAAAGAAAGAAAGAAAGAAAGAAAGAAAGAAAGAAAGAAAGAAAGAAAGACCTACATGTGGTTGGATACCTAAATTCTGGGGGCAATTATGTATATTTTAATATGGAAAATATAATCTTATTTTGTGCTTACACTTTGAGTATGCCACTATCATTGTTTATTAAAACACCCTGAGGAATAATGTTAGCTATGGGACGTACCAATTTAAAAAGCATTTTCAAATGCACCGTGTCATTAAACTTTACATCAACCACCTGAGGTAAGGATGGTGACTCTAATTCTAAAAATTAGGAAAATTAGTCTTAGGGAAAAGCTCAGGAACATCTTAGGCTCAGGCAGCCAGAGACTGGGGAGCATCCAGGCCTTGCTGTTTCATGTCCAGGATTTTCCCTGCCTTCTCTCTTCCAATGACGTAACCAGAAGCTCAGCTTATCCCACTTGCAAAAGTTCCATCCCCTGGCCTCTATAAATATACTCAGACTTCACTCACCATCAATTTTTAGTTCAGAAAAAGTGGTCAAAGTCTTGATTACACACCAGGCAATATTGACCACAAAGAGTCCTCAGGCCATGTTCCACAACAAAGAGGATAAGTGACAACAAGCTGCGAGACACAGGCCACCGTCTCTCATCAAATGTGGAGAGGAAAAAGGAGCAGCAGCATTCCGGAGGCCATCTGCTCTGCTGGTTGACCTAGACTGTTTGTACTCCACTGACAGAGCCTCTGAAAACCTCTGCTTGATGAACTGGGGTTATACATCCAACTGGGGAAAATAACCTTTCCTTCATCTCATCTCTCACCATTTCTTCTACTCGATGCATTTCTGCAGTGTTTTCTTCTATAGCAGGACTCCTCCATATCAGCGCCCTAGCCAGGTCATTCTTCATGATGGGGGGCTGCCCTGAGCGCTGCAGAATGATCCACTAATCCCAAAACTGCCTCCCAACTGTTGGCAACCAAAGATGTCTACAGACATTACCAAATGTCCCTGAGAGGAAAAATATGTCCCCAGTTGGGAATACTGGTCCATACAACTGGGAGAGAAGTTATGATGGCATATATATGGTGTTTTATCTTAGTAAAGACGATGACTTCTTCTATATAATGATAAGACATGTAAGAATAGAGATTTGGACTCCTGCGTCTTGACTGTCACTCCTCTAGTGATTTACTTAAAATATTTCTCATTTTTGCCTCCTTTCCCCCCAGGAGCCTGTCTCCGGACCAATATTAAAAGGAAATGGGGAAAAAAATGCATACAGAGCTTAACTAACTCACTAGACAGTAGTAGATTCATTTCTTATTTGGGTTCTCTACTCTAAATCCCAGGCACCTTCACCTGTACCATTTGACTCAGTCAGTTGGTATTTCACTGCTGCTTATCACATGATGAGTTCATGTTGGCTTTGATAAAAGCAGAATGCCATGCCTAAGGACACAGTGCCTGCAGGTCAGTCCTGGATGCAAATATTCTTTCTAGCCCAGGAGAAGCTATAAAAATGTAACTTTGGGCTGTCAGCTCTCCATGTGACTTTGTGGTCAGCACACCTGAGCATGTGGTCAAAAAAAAAAATAGTAAGGAGGGAGAAACTATCTAAATACTTGAAAACTGAAGTTGCTCATTATCAATCATGCTGGCAGCATTACCTCCCTTGGGATAGGAATAGAACTTGTTGGATTGGTCACCAAGGGAAGAACATTCTATAGAGGGGACACTCTCCCAGAGGGTAGATGGAAGAGGGTTCCACCATATGCTTCTGGTAGTAATGTGATAAAAATAAGAGATACTTTATTTAAGTAACGTGCCAGAAGGGTGTGCAGCATACAGTAGGTACTCAAATCTTAGTTTTTATATAATTCAATTTTCGGTTTCTGGTGGATGGGTAAGAGCCATCTGTCTTTAGCAGAGTGTTCTATGGAGTGTTCTGACTCTGAGGTCACACAAACTTAAAACCAGATCCCATCTTGGCACTTTCCAAGTGCAGGACCTTGAACAAGACTCTCACTTTGTCTTGGTTTCCTCACTTGTAAAGGAGGATGATACGATCCACTCATAAGCAGTTGAGTTGATTGAATGAGGTAGTACATGTTAAGCACTTAGCAAAAGTAATCATCATGTGGGAAGAGTTCAAAAGTGTTAGTTCTTAGGATTAAGTTTAGCTAATGCTCCATTTCTCCTAAGTACTCTCATTTATCAACAGAGATTCATACACTGCTCAGAAATCCTTTACATTATCCACAGGCGGGTCCTGTTCACACCCTCCATCACCACTCTG